TTTCTGGCCACCCCAGTTTGTCTGAAATACCATCTCTACCTGCAGGCCTTGTCCAGCAGAAAGCAGACATGCATGTTGTCTGATTCCAATATTTGTCGGTTAAAGCAAAATGAAAACCCAGCGCTCTGATGATGGCTTCCAAAATCAAAATGGTCAAAAGAGAAATTTGAATGAAGTTTATAAATGACAAGAAATTATAAGCAATTATATAAATATAAATTAATATTACTTTTACAAAGGACTTTTTTTTTTTTTTAATATGATGTATGTCTCTCAAGAGGCTTGAGAACTCATAAGAAATTCTCAAGAGCCAAAACCATTGGAAGTGAGCTTTAGGACCAACACCTCATTTTCTTCTCTAGCAGAGGGAGACATCAGCACCCATGACAGCTTGCTTTAGAGAAAACATAAAAGGTTACCCTTGGTTTTGGATGCATTCAATAAAACTACTGATGATAACTCAGTTGCAACACAATTAAGAAATCACACTGAGCAGCTGCAAAGTCAATTCTGCCAAGGAGAGATCAAATCTGCAATGACCATCTCAAGAGGGAGCATTTTCAGGTAATCAGAAATAACTTCATTACCTGTTTAATGCCCTAGCTTGTAGGTAGACAAAATCTAGTAGTAATACTAGTACTAGATATAACAACCCATCTAATCCAACTCTTTATTTTGTGGTTGTAACCCTGCATTCAAATTAAGAATTTCTCTTTGTTACCCAACTAGCAACGTACACTGGGTATTTTTGGACAGGCACTGAAGCACCAGGTATTAGCTAGAAGCAGCATAGTAGATTTGATGGGCATAAGTAAGGTGCATCTGCCAACTTTGGAGACTTTCTAATAGGTTAAATGATAATTGGAATTTACAAAACCTGCAGGTTCTTGAGAAGCGAGGAAAAAAAAAGGCAAATTCACACATGTAAATGACCATCTTCCTATAGGCAGGTTGGTACTAGCAACCTAGGAAAGGTGAAGCAAAGACCAGAGTATGTTCATTTAACCTTAAGTAGCAGCTGTGTATCTGATGGAAGAAGTGATGTTTTCCTTCCTCTCATATGTGCACACATCCACATCCCTCAGTTGCAAATCACAGACCTATTAGTCCACTTACTTCATCTTGTACAGTTTATTAAATCATAAGGACTTCCATTCTCTGGTGCATTTGGGGAATTTTGCAGACTTTCGGTGCTCCTACTCAGGTCAGCCATGCAACCAGACGATTAAGCTAAATTCCCTTAAAAGAAAATCTTTGTTTAATATTAAAACGAAAACATTAAGCTGTAAAACATTAAAGTGTTAGTTAATGACCATTACGGCAATATGAGAGCCAGATGGAAGCTGCTCTGTGCTGTCCAAGCTTGGCTTCCCCGGAGTGATGCTCTGCACGACACAAACCCTCCCAGCAGCACGGAGCAGCTCAGCAGCACCAGTCTGCTCACTGGAGGTCGAGTCCTTGGCCCGACGTACAGCCAAACAGAACACACATCTCCTCTTGTTCTGGGTGGGATGGAGGGACTGACACTCTGTTAACTCCTGAACAAAACCAGCCTTATGCGAGTGGCTCCTCTAACATCAGCCAGGTCCATTGCACCAAACTGCAGCAGCTCCCAGAGCTGCTTCTGGGCTCTGCCTCTTCCCAGTGAAACCAGTAGGCAACTTGTGCAGCAAACATGAAAAGGCTTGGAGCATACACACACCTTATGTTATCTATGTCCATATAGAGCATGTGTAAAGGAAGAATAATTGCATCTTTTCCAGAAAGCAGTTGAAAGGTGTTTGAAAGTAACGCCTGTTCACTAGTTAGGCAATAAGACTAATTTAGAAGTAATAAAGAATGAACACCCATTCTTTCAGGAAAACCTTTATGAATTAATAATATGTGGATGTACCCAGCATTCTATTCAGAGACCTCTAATTACTGAAAAAATCCACAGGAGCAAGTAGCCAGACTGCTCTCAGACTCTCGCAGCAACACCTCCAAAGCTCTCCTCTAATCACCACACTGGATCAGAGTAGCAGAATTGGAAGAATTCAAGCAAATCCCCATTGGATTCTTGAACTAGGCTCTAATCCGAACGTTAGCATCAAATGAGAAGCTCTGTTTTTGCAGGAAAAGGATCTGTCTCCCATCATGGGACCTTCCTCCAGCATTTAAGCTGAGCCAAGCACAAATGAAACCTTGAACCTTTGCCCAGAATGATCATCAGGAATTGAAACTTTTGAATTTGGGACAATATAAAAGATGCCAATAAAAAATTCTTTTCTGCAAGCCCTGTTCTGACGCATAAATCTTGCCCCACTTTCCTTCCAGCCCAGTTAAAACCTGGCCTGTGCCAAATCCCAGGGGAGAGCCCACTCAGAGCACTTCTGACACAAGCCAGGGAGCAGTTGGAATTACAAAAGACAGTTCCCACAAGAATCCCAGATCAAAGAAACCCACCTCCATTTGCACGAACTTTTAGATAAACATCCAAAAAAAGTTTAAAGTTCACTACAGGACCAACCCTTTTCTGCAGCCACCCTCGTGCAAATCCTTTTGCCAGTTGTCTTTACGGGTGGTAAGGTCTTTGGGGCAGGCACCAGGACTTCCTATGCATTAGTAAAAGGCCAGCACCATCAGCCTCTGGTTCTAAACGGAGAGCATGTGTCCTGCCACAGTGTAAATATTATTCGTAACCCATCCAGCTCTAACACATGACTTCATGACAACCCTCTCCTCCTCTCTCCACACTACTCCAGGTTATTGAGATCAAATTCAGTGAGATTTGACATGTGAAAGTGAATCATACACGGTATGTCCAAATGACCAGAGACTGGGAAACAAGACACATGATCAGGTCATATGGAAACAAACCCCCCAAAAGTCGTAACTCTCATTCCACCTTTTCTTTAACCACTCCATTCAACTACCTGTTACCTTCTCTGAGTTTAAACTAGACTCAAAATACTCCCAGAGCCATGATCACATCACAGAAAGGTTGTAGCAGATACCTACTTGTCCCTTGGCATCCTACATCTGGTAAAAGATATACAAATAGAAATAACTAAAAATCCTGTGATGACAAGTAAGGTTCAGGAACCCTAACTAAGAGCTCAAAATCTCACTCTTCCCCTTGTATTAAAGCAAGCAGTTTCACAAAGACTCAAACCATAGATTATCTTCAGGGTTATTGTGATGTGACTATGAAGTTTTCTTGTCAGGCTGCCAGTGGGAAGGAAAAAAAAAGGCTTTCTGAATCAGGCCCTTATCATTTATACCACATTACAATCCAAAATGAAAAATGACTTGCTCCAGATTTGATAGAATAAAGCATCTTGAGATGCCAAAGAAGTACCCAATTTTCAATAAAGACATTAAACCTAAGCTTCAAAAAAAAGGGAATAATTACATCGTTTTTTGCTTTGAGTTTTAATGCTAAAAGTGTCAATTTATAAAACTAGGTGAACATCCACAATTCCTAAGCAGACTGCAGCTAATTAGACCCCTTTTGATCTTTTATTTTGCCTAGAAGCTTATTTAACAACTTTACACAAAACTCAAGGTTTTGACACAGTAGTGGACTGGGGGAGGGGGGGAAGATTGCAGAAGAGAAAAATTCTCTGCTGCTTGCTAAGGTGGGAGGCTTGTCACTTCCCCAAGCACATGTGCTATCAGCAAAACTGGAAAATGCTTTCCAGCCATGAGATGGACCACCTCTTATTTGAGCTGTCTGCATGGAGACGTGATAGAGAACAAAACATTAAAAACTAAACCACCGTACAAACAGAGATGTTACTAATCCTCCAGCATCACATACACCGTTTGTGTGTATAAGCTACAGTTTTAGGTAAAGGGTGGAAACACAAGACTAAACACCGTGCCTCCCAAGGAATGAGAAGGGGATGCCTTTAATTGCCATGGCAAAGAAATGGCACTGACTGAGTAGTGTTGTATGAAACCACCATGCAGTGCAGAGGCACTGCAGTTTCCTACCTGAGCAGCATCCACCTTCATTGGAAAGGGTTGCCCAAAGGCTGGACACAGACAGAGCTGGTCAGGCAAGCAGAGAGCAGACAGCATGTTTTGCTACATGCTGCAGCAAAACAAATCTTTGAGTTGACTCCGTCCTGGGGCAGTGGAAGGGACTAGACAATTTCTACTGGTTCCTTCCATCTCTCCTTCCCATGAAGGACTGACATCAAAATAACTGTGGGGGCCAGATGACACAGGAGCCACTAAGGCATTCATCATTTCTGTGCCCACATCACATCATCTCTCTCCTTTCCGTAACAGGGTATTCTCGCCTCTAACACCTTCACATCTCCCCAGAGCTCACCAGAGCAGTGAAGTCAGGATTGTTAAGGGCAGAAAGCTCCTTACCCTGTCCTGAAACAAAACAATATTATTAGATTTGAAGGACCCAGGTCGCTGGGCTCATGCATGCAGACCCTGAGGACCAGGGAGCCCGGCTGATCCGAGGCTGACTGTTGGGAAGGGAGTGATAGAGGGAGGAGACAGGGATGGAAGAGAATTAGCTGCTGCAAACAGCAAAGCTGAGTCTGCAGTAACACGCTCCTGTCTGTGAGCAGCTCCTGTCTGACAGGGGAAGCCGGATAGATTTGAAACAACCACAACCATTTGGATGTACTGATTTGTGTTCCATCTGCGTTAATCTCTGCTTAAAAGGAACAAACCTGGGACCTGGTCTAAACCTCCGCAATAGCAGCCCTCCACACCTGCCCTGTCACCACCTACCTTTATCTTCAGTCCTGAGTGAGGGCACTCCGAGTTCACCTGATAGCTGAGCTTATTTCCGATTCATCGTTCAGGCAGGAATAAATAATGCTGACTGCAGCTCTCAGCCCCCACTGAGACACCGCACACCCACACACCCCTCCAGAAGACCCCCAACACCAGCCCTGGGCTGTGCTCAGACCCTCCCCACCCCAGACTCACAGCTGCTAAGCAAGCTTAAACCATTGCCTCCAATTTTTTGAAAAATTGCTCTTCCTCACCCAGTTCCGAGGCCATCCTGCCTTGCAGATTTACTTCCTTTTCTCCTTGCTCTCCTCGAGGCACATCAGCTGAATGGGGCTTCAACAAGAAAGAGAAGAAGGAAGTGATCCCAGACTGTACCCACACCGCGGCAGCGGAGCTATTTCACCCCTCATGCTACGCATCAGCATTAATGACTTCAAAGAAAACCATTTGCAAAGTTAAAAGCTTAATGTAGTAACAAAAATCAATACCGTGCTCAAGAAAATCCCCTGATGCTGGAGCATCACTCAGGTAGACAGCACAGGGGCATTCCCTCCACTACCAGCAGCCTGGCAGGCCATTAGAGAGGGGAGGCTGCCTTAATTTATTCTCTTTGTCATCCTAATATAGATCTTCCCTTTTCAATTGCTCTTTGTACCTTCATACTGCAATTTGGGTTCATAAATAGAACGAGTCCTAAAAGCTAGGATCAATATATTGTGCGTTCCCTTTCAGATGGGAGGCAGAGAGAGCCAAATACCCTGCTGGCATAAACAGCAAGTTCCTTTATGCTGCGATTTTACCATTTAAAATATGCATCCAAATATGGACTCGAACTTAGTTAACTAAATGAAGGAAAATTTAGTAGTCACCCTTGCATTCCCAGAGCATTTTCTGTACATAAATTCAAGCCTTTTCCAAATGCTAATAATTCACTGTGTACCATTACTAACAACGCAGGTAAACGGGTCTGCTCAGATGCAGAAATTGAGCAGAGGGAGACTGAGCACCCAAAGGTAAGTGTTGTTTTAAGGAGCAAAAGCAATTGTGTGAGTCCATGGAAATGCCAATCCCTGGTTTCAGCTAAAAAATTCAAATGCTGCGAGAGATGCGTCTCTTTTTAAAAAAGGGTTATTCCGAAGGTTGGTTGTTTTTTTTTGGTGTGTGTGTCAGATTCTTACCCTATGAACAGAGGTGGTGCACATGAAGGTACTTCAACACCTTGGCCACAGCAGACTTCAAAATCTTCCTAAAAGAAACTTAATAAACAACAGCAAACAGCCCAGCCTACCGCCTCCTTGACTCCCAATAAACAAGGAACAGAAGGAAAACAATCAGACAAAAAAATACCCCAAATACCAGAGGGAAGATTTTATTAAAAACAAAACCCCAAAAAAGAAACCAAACACCACCTTTCAGTGCTTAAATTTGTCCCTATACATCAATAAAATTTGAAATAATTTGCACTTTGTAGGGAGACTGTATGTATGTTGTATGTAAATCTCATACAACTTTGTCCATAGGCAGCTCTTGTTTGAGTGTTAATCTCTAGCTGGACAGAAGGTGCTGAAGGTGACCTCTGGAAGCTGCAGGGACAAGTGAAAGGTCGGTGCACAGGGCTGCAAAGTGTTGGGTAACCCCTTGGTGCTCTGGGGTGTCCCCGTACCCCAGGATTGTTCATGCATCCTTGGAGGAGAGCGTGCAGCGTTGCATTGCTGACAGAAACTTGTCTATAATTTGCTTTTTTCTGACGTAACGTAGATGGATTTCTTAATTTGACACAGTCCTAAGGGACTGGGATGCTCTCTGTTCCCCTTAAATACACTTGCCAGATCCATGCAGCTCCATTCCACAAGGAAGGAATCCCCACGGGTACCAATTGTTTCAAATAAGAAGCCTAAGCAAATGAAAACCAAACCCTCTCCCCGCCACCTCCTCAACAAGCACACAACCCTACCAAAGCACGCTGCTGCCGATGCTTTGCAGCAACACCTGCTTAACACCAAACAAAAGCACCCATGAGTCACCAAGTCAGTCAGTAAAATCATATCTAACATGTCAAAATATTTCAGCTTCACCCAAACACTCTTAGCTGGGTAGTGCTAAATATTAGTTCCATCTCTTAATCCTCCTGCCAAGCGAGCCAGATTTCCTGCTAGAAAACAAAGCTGAGTAACATGTCTGAGATCAGAGGAATGGTGCCCGAACCAAAATAATAACTAACATCTCATCCCTCAGTCTGTCCTCCTCCAAAGAACGAGGCCCTGCTCCTTCCACCTCTGTACGTTTCACCTTGGCTTTTATCCAGTGCTTATTCCTCTTATTTCCTCTCCCCTAGAATCCAAATAAATCCGCATGGCGCTAACTGAGCTCCTACAGAGCCGAAGGTGAGAGAAAAGCATCTCAGCCCCTCGTTCACCCAGCGGCTCAGACAGCTCGGGACAGAATGCAGCCACGCATCCCCCGGGGCCACACACAGCCCTCCGAGGGACTTGCTGGGGACAGCACCCACCGTTTCCCCAGGGCAGCCTTTCTGGATCTCGCTTGCTCTCCCTGCTATGTCAGAGAGCTGCTTTTGATGATGGAGCTGGAGCCTTGTGAGCTCTTCCACCCTTTCTTTGGAGCTGAGATGCACCAAGGTGCATCAGGACACCTTTACGAAGCAATGGCTTAGAGTTTGTCCAGAAAGCTCTATGAGCACGAGTGCTGTTGCTCCTGGAGAAATGTCTACAGGGCTGCAGTTAGGAGAAGGGGGGAGAAACATCTGTGTGCATACAAGAGCAGTGCAGGCACAGGCTGCAGCTGTGAAGCCCCTCTCACTTGGCCAACGCTGTCTGCTAACTGCTGGCATAAATATAGTAACAGTGCTGCACATATGGCAGGCTGTTTAATTTTAGAAATCAAAACTATCAAGTGATTAAGTTAGTCATCCTTCCTCAATTTGGGACCAATACAGCAGTACCAGAGGCAGTGGTCATAACCACTGTGGTTTGCTAGAGAGAAAAAGCTGCGCATGCGTGTGCTCCTGCACAGGCAGGGAACACCAGAAACCCTGCTCTGCCCAGCCTCATTTTTCAAAGCAGGATGGGACAAAAGGAAAAAAACTCAAAGGAAGCCTCCAAATAGAAACGGAGTGCCTTGTCACCAGTGGACCAAGCCCTCCTGAGCTCAGCAGCCTGGCCTGTGCCGATGCTCACACACCCTCGATGGCATGGGGGGCCTTGATGCACTGCAGAAGCAGCAGCACCTTTTGCAGAGCCCCGCAGCTCCTCCCCAGATGCAGCACCAGTCGCACCAGGAGGATGCAGCCTCGCAAAGCCCATCGGTATCTTTCCCTTCCAGTGAAAACCAGCGAAGGAAGAAAGCAAACAAGTCATGGAGGGATTTTCTGTTTCTCTAGACAAACACACTAAGAGCAGTTCAAAAGAGGCTAATTAAATTCTAAAATCCCTGTGCAAATACGTTAATAATGATTTTGAAATGAGCAGTTAACCAAGGAAGTTTTCAAGGTGGGAAGTGTTTGATACAGAAGAGCCGCTCAGCATTCGCCGGAGACAATCTCTCTGGATAGCGCACGTGTTCGGGGGGTGGGCAACAGCCAATGCTCTTCCTTCCCAAGCACCAGGAAGCCAAGCTAACACCAAGTGACATGGCTGTAAGCCTGAAGGATCACTGTGCAGCCCCAAAGACCTTTTCCTACTTATTGCCAGGACAGAGGAAAAGCAAAGACATTTCTTCGCTCCTGCTGTCACTACAGGATGTTTCTAAATGCCAGATAAATCTTTTTCCTCTTCCCACATAACCCTAAGTCAAAGAAAAAAAAAATCAGCCTATAAGAGGTGAGTAACCGTAATTTGGGGAGAGGAGCTTAACCCAATAACCACAAAGACCTTTTGCCTGATTTCTTCTCATTTCCGCAGCTTGCATCAATAACCACACTGATGGAAAACGTGTACGAAATGCGACAATTCCAATAGGAACCAGAGTCTCTCCCTTTGTGCATGAAGCATGAAATGATGAGAAATTGATAATTTCTTATAATTGCTCATATGATGGGGTGGAAAATCTGACATTGTTGTGCGGTCTCCACTGCCACGGTTCATGGCACGTCTCGATTCGAAATGCCATCTTTCTCACAAGCAAGCAGGCAATGGAACTGCCTTCACTGAACGATGGCAAACCAAAACAGAGAAAAGTAGCTGATGTGCCCTTGCAAAGTTTTTGGCAGAGCAAGGAATTAAACCCACTGGCTAAGCCCTGAAAGCCAGGCTATCCTGTCCTGGTCAAATCTCCAACCATGGTCACAAGACTACCCTGCTGCTTCTCTTCCCTTATTCTTTGCATGTCCTTGCTCACTGCAGCACAATTACATTTTTTCAGGCAAGATCTCATGAGATATTGATTCATATGCTTGTTAAAATCCAGATCCATTATACCTCCCTTTTTGCTTTCATTCACTAATTTTATTGTCCTATAAAATATAAAGATTTTCTGATGAGATACATTCACCATGCCGCCACTACTGCTAAAGGCATACAGCTGCCATCGTCTTCCGGAAACATGTTTGTTTAGTCCATAAATCCTTCTTTTGCTAGATACAAAAATTACGCATACAGGACAATAAATTCCAGGATCATTCTTCCTTTGGATTTGACAAGCAGGACTGCAGTTATTTCCCCAGCCCTGGAGTACCTCTCAAAGAGCAGTCAGCAGTCCAATAACTTTAGATAAACCATTTAATTTCCAGAAGGAGCCTTGTTTGTATATAGACACAAGTTATAGCCCGCTGGGTGCTCTCTGTTCTCACTGATTGCTCCCGGTTGGGAAGCAGAGGTTTTGGGTGAGTATGGTACTGGCAGTCTCTGCTTGCTGCACCACAAAGACACCTCATTCAAAATTTAAGAATCTGATCCAGAGGAGGATATGTTTGTTACTTACCTCAGCAGCAGGCTGAATATGCTGTTCTGCAGTATCAACAGCTAGGAGAACAGGCTCAGCAACTGTTTTACACTGCATTATGAGTAGATACCTAAAAGAGAAAGTAGGGAATAAAAAGATAGTAAAAACGACCAAACACTGATTCGACTGATTTGGGGGGTGGAACAGTAAAGGAGAGGAGAAACTAAACAGCTTTGACTCATCCTTAAATGCTCCCCAAAAAGGCAAAGAATTATATATAGGTAAATACAATTGGCAGAAGCAGAATGAAAGGAAAATGAAGGAATTTAACTGCAAAATTCAACTGGACCACCAGGAAAAGTCTCCAAGCAATCCAACTTGTTGTGGCATGGTGAATACTGCCTAGAAAAGTGGTAGAGTTCACATTTAAAGCAGCTCAGACAAAACAATTCAGATGCAATCAGTGTATGTAAGCATAAATAAGGCACCTTTAATCTAGGCTAAAACTTGCACACTGTTAGCAGCAAAATGTAGACAAATATATCAGGGCAAGCTGCTCAGCTACATCCCTGTGACTTCAGCCAGAAGCAGCCCTTGCTGATCCACATACCACCATCATTCCTAGAACAGCTCTGTGTAATGAAAAAAGCTGAGATGCCCAAAGGTGGCAGAAGAACTTCAGGATACTGAAATTTATCTCCTTGCAATCTTCTAATTTACTTCCAAGGCTGCCCGAGGGCTGGGGCAGCAGAGCATGGGCATGGTTTGGGTTCTCTAATTGCACAAGGATCCTTTGTGGGACATACACATGGGATTTCCCAGCTAGTGCGGGGTTCAGAGGTCCTCCATAGACAGCAGCCCTGGCTGATGAGCACAACAGCTTACTATCAGTGATGTGGGGTGGGCAGCAGAATTCGTGAGGGCCTGAACATCAGCTATGACAGAGGGATGTTTTGCCAACACTGTTTTCTTTTGCCCAGCTAAAGCTCTCTATTAAACTACCAGTGGAGAATAAGACCCCATAAACATCATATCTGGAATCCTGGGACTAATCATCACAAATATAAGTGCTCTTAGTCAAAAATATTGCTAGATTTATTGTCTGCACTTTTTTAATGCATCCTGGAGTAAGGATTTCACCATACTTCTCATTGCTAATAGTCATACTGAGCTCATGAGGAGGAGTGGTCACAGCCTGGAGACCCTGACGGCAGAGATTTTACAGTCTTTTCCAAATCAAAGACTACAGATGTGCCAGACTAATCCTGATTAGTAACAAACACCTTTGCTGTGAATATATTGATAACACTATGCAACTGTAGAAGGCTTTTTATGTCAGGTGAACCACATTCCCACAGCTGTCTGATTTTTTTTTTTTTTGCCACTTTGCTGTCCTTTTTCTCTTGTACGCTATTCCACATACTGATGCAGTTAAGAAAAAGCTAGGAAAAAGACTTAGCAGCTGTTATTAAAACTGTAGATTCTTACCGCCACTATTTCTCCTTCCAACTAGATTCCATTCCTGTTGACTCTCTTTTCCTAGCTGAGCCTGGAAGTATTAAGACACCTTTAAAATCCTCCCTGTTACATACAAGTCTGGTTCATTGTTTGGATATGATGTGGCTAAAAAAAAAAAAGCCAAGGCTGGATTGCTTGGACAAAGGTACTACAAAAGAATTCAGGTACACTGCATAGGTATTCAAACACTTTATGGGCTGCTCTTGGAGACGACAACCCCTGGCTAAGTGCCACCATACCAGTGGTTAGATGACAGCCTGGATGATCTAGCAAGAATGGAAAGTATGCAAGTACTCAGACAAACATTGAAGGATAGCAATAGAAGAACATGGCACATGCAAAGCATCGGTTATTTGGGAACAAACAAACCTCCTTTGCTGTGCCATACTTTAGCAAGCCCATTTCCATGGTAGCTTTCATCATTCACAATACAGCAATGTCAAACACCAAGAAACATTTTGCTTGCCTACAACGTACTGTAATGTGAAAGAACGCAGAGGTTACCTGCAGGAGACACCAAGCATAAACACCTGCTTTACCTACCTGTTCTTTTTGTTAGAAGAGGTATCAGAGCTCAGGTGCTTGGGCAGTGGGCCAGAGCAGGGCATGCTGGCTCCTAGTCCCTGCTCAGAGGAGGAGTGGTGTCTGATAGTCAAAAACAGTTGAACCAGGATCTAAATTTTGTTCCTAGCTCAACCCTGACTCATGGTACGTAACCTTGAACAAGATGCTACACCACCTTCTCCACGGGGACATGGCAGAATTTGCCCATTTCCCTGTGCCTGGCTGTATGGCGCAATCACTGCCCATAAGGTACTTTCGGGTCATTGGCTCAAGGGTGCCAGAAAAGAGCAGAGCCTTATTGCTGTAGCATGTCCAGGGCTTATTCTGCACGATATTAAGAGCCTGGGTCAATGTACGTGATTTTTTTTCCCAGCACTCCAAGAAATCTTCTGCATAGCAAAGTTAAAGCAAGCGAGAGAAAGAGAGACGTCTCCGTTTGATTGGCTGTGACTAGCTGCAATTAAAAACTATAATTTATTACCCTGGATTACGAGTATAATTTCAATGCAGAGAATTAAGGTTTTCTTCTGAGATGGAAATAAAGATTAATTTTTAATTTCCTTTCTCATTGCACATTTAAGAGCAATGGACTCCATAGAAAACTACAGGTCAAAATAGTTTTATGGAGGAATGACAATGTTCCATTGCCGAATAATTTAATGCTCTTGCTGCCTTTTTAATATTTGACTGCAGCTCCCTCATGCGAAACAACGGCAGCAGACACCATACACGTTTGCTGCAGCACTCAGGTCAATGTGACTTTGAAAAAACAAAGTTTCACTGCTCAGGACTCGGGCAGCTCTTGGAGCTCCCCCGACACATCAAGCCGCCCGCCACACCAAGGGACACGAAGGTTTTCCCAAAGGGCAGGCAGCCAGCCTGGGGAAGGAGAATGGGAAGAGCAGGAGTGAAATGAAAGCCTGGGGGAAGCAGAAGGCACCAGAACGGATGGGCACATGGGGTGAGTATTCACCCATCAGGCACATAACACACCAGGCACATCCCACACCTCACAGGCTGGCAGGTATATTCAGATAAAGTAGGAGAAATGTTTCCATCTGGGAAACACTGCTGTAAGACAGCAGGGCTGGAAGGTTTTGCCTGCAGGCTGAACACATTATTCCAATTTCCACAGCACATCAGCAGAAAACAGGAAAAACTGAGAGGCACGAGGTCGTGAATTCACTGAGGCCCTGGCACCGTGACTAGGTCACTGCTTTCCGAAACAGCTCCCATGCGTTGGAGAAAAACACAGTGGAAAAACTGGGAAATCCACACCATTACACAGCACTTCCGAGCTACCTGTAACAATGCAACACGGCACAAGAAAGGAGAGGAGGTCTATGTGCGTTTATTCCTCCCAGAAACAGGCTCTCGGGACAGGATTTGATGCTGCTGCAGATAGCAGGAGGACACCATCACATGCCTGAGGCCTAGTATTTGACCATGAGCAGTGAAAGGAAGTGCCAATGAAATTCAGAAATGCCTTAAATCATTGCTCTGGTAGTAGCAATTAAAAAAAAAAAAAAAAAAAAAAAAAAAGGAAGAAAAGCCCATACTAATGACTTGTATTCCAGTTAATTGAATAACCCTGCACTGACGGAACTATATCCTAGATGACCTAATAATAGGCCTTTCCACTGTAGGGTTCTGAAAATTTATTGACATCTTATAATTGGTATCTTGGTTTATAAATGGGATTAGGTGCCTAAGTGATGCAACTGCTGCTCAGCAGAGGGTTAAGCTGAGCACAGTGCAGGGTCACCGGGAGGAACATCTCCCAGGGACATGGTGACAACACTCTCAGTGTGTCCTGGGGACCAAGTGGCTGCATGCGCAGCTCCACCAAGGCCAAGTCTCAAGGCTGCCAGGGGCCAGCCCTGAGTTAATGGGCAGGGACCCACATCATCATGTAAATTAAAATTAATCCCACATTTTTTTTTTTTTTCCAGGATGAAAATAAAGGAACTCCCTCACACAAAATTCAAACAATGCTTTGTCCCAAAAGTCCCTTCCTTCCACTCCTGATGTACTTTCCCATGTCCTCTAAGGCTAACTGGGTCAGCCTCCCATTAGGCTAAGCACAAAACTACACCACTAAAACCAACACTTCAAAAATGGAATTTTTATGTGGACCGGAGACCTCAGAAGGTCACTCACAGTTGGTTGCACACAGTGAGGACATGCTTCATCCCAGGTCTAGGAGAACAAAGCAAGCATTTTGCAAGTTGCTACTATTCAATTTGGGGAATTGTCCCCTTGCTGAGGAACTGAGTCTTTTCTGGGGTGCAAAGGTTTGTTAGATTTATTTACTTCCCTACCCAGCCAGAAAGCAAAAGCTTGAGTGCTCATCGCCAGGCTGTCAGGTGCCAGAAATCATTCAAGGAATACATATTCAGATATATTACAAAACGTCTGAGACCCACAGGTTTGCTTCTTCTACGGAAGCAGGTACAGCTGTAGCCATTTGACATATATCTGCCATACCAAGCAAAGACTTGGCAAAGACTTCTCTGAGCTCAGAGGTTAAATCAAGCATAGTACTTACTTGGAATCCCTCTACAGAAAACCTTGAAGATGAAGTTAGGGCAACTGAACAGGGAGTGCTCCTTCCTTCCAGTTGGGGAATGATCCCCAAAACACATCCCTTTATGTAAGACTTTAGCCAGAAACTCTAGCCAAGCACAGGTACAAGGGCTGCCCCATCCCCTCATGCAGCAGCATGCCAACTGGTTTCTAACTCAGCCATTTATCACCTCCTGACACCTTACAAAACTCCCTTCAGATTTACATTTCCCTGTACATTTTCCTTCACTGTCTGTACTAAACAATTGTGTCCAGACTTGGGTTGCTTTAATCAATCACATTTCTATTCTCTTGAGGCTGCTTTTCAGCAGCAACCAAAGCTCTTGCTACCTACCACAAGTTCGCTTCTGACAACCGAGAACTCACAAATCCAGTGAAGAGGATACATGCCTGGGACTAGACTCTGTGAGAGCCCAGCTTTGCAAAGCCCAGAGCACCCAGAATTTGGATCAGTTTTTCAGAAGTCCTTCACCCCACCACTGCTCCCAGTGGGATACCAGTGGCCACCTTTGCCAAATACCCCAGCGTTTTTGGGCCCCTTTGAAAGCCTGGATTCCAGTTTTGGAGCACAAGAGATGCAGAAGCACCAGCTGCTATAGAGAATCCTTCTCACAGCCTTTCGAGATCAGTTTTGCCTCTAGTAGCCCACTGCTGGTATAACCATTGCCTGAGTGCAAAGCCTGGTATGTGTCTCCGGAAATGGAGTTTAGATGTTTGTCTTATCTGAGCAAGTTCAGTGACTGAACACTGCACAAAAGAGCGTGAGCAACCCTGACAAAGCAACTGCCGCCTCCTTATCACGGTCTCCAAAAGGACTGAAAAGAATCAAGCATCAGAAACTTATCTCTTGAGAGATGTTCAGTGCCCATGCCTGGCTTACCGATCAGCTCTAACTCCCCTTTTTCACTAGAGTTTTGCTGCCTTGTTTTTGGCCACACAGTACAGCCTTGCCACTTCCTGAGTGTGGAGGAGTTGTGAGGGGAAGGGGGTGTGGAGGATGGGCCCTCTTTGCCGACACTATTGTCTTGTATTTCTGGACAATGGGATGTTTTTACCCATGACAATTTTACCGTTGTGATAACCAGTAACAAATGGCCATCCTGGTATCACAGGAAGGTTCTCAAGCGTTAGGTGATGACAATGAAACAGAGGCTGTGGACAGGTTTCCTTGAAGTCCCACTAACCTGGGCTTCCTCTCTACAGCCTCCCCATGCACTCCAAGCTCAGTTTGAGCTCTTGCCACTAATACGTTGGCTGCATCAACAAGAGGCACATACCTTCTGGTGGGAGAAGGCTCTTGGTGGTGGCCTACCGCTGGTCCCAGAAAAATATGGACTTGGCACATGCCCCTGAGCATTGCAGTGCATTCCCAGTCCCCCCATGGCTGGTGCAGTTGTGGGAATGAGTTAAGGACAACACATTCAAGAGTAGGGACGTTGCAGCATGAAGAGGAGATTCAGTATAGCCTGCAGGGATAAACAGAAAAAAAAAGTTAATTAGAGGAACGAGACATGTTTTAGACTGAGCAGAAGGAAACAAGCTCTTTACAGGAACAAATGCTCCCCATATTTACCCACTGACTCCTCCACTTCTTCTAATTGCATTGGGCTGTCTTTCCTACACCCTGCACAACACTCCTAGACAAGGCAACCTCTCATGCCAGTTTCCTCAACAGTCTTCCAAAATACTGCTGCTGCCATGAAACATGCGGTTCTTTGAGCCCACAGCATCTGCTCCACCTGCACAGTCAGTTGGCATGGGCTTTCCAACATCACCAAGCCCTGCTGTACAGCTCCCACTGAAGACAGAGGGAAAACATCTTTTGGGTTCAGTAGGAACAGAGTTTGGTCAACCCCGAATTCTTCTGAAAATCCTTCACTAAAGTACAAAATGAACAAGCATGGAAATACTCAGCTCTGGAGTGTAAGGATCAGGTCAAAGCAACCAGTGAGCAGGAAGGACAAGAGCAATAGCTTAGACAGGACAAGACACTCCAAGCAAACCATGTTTTACTTCAAGAATAGTCTCTGGAAGCCCATATGAGACTTCTTACATTGCAGCAGCCAATCAGCCATAACAGAGGTATCATAAGTCAATCCATGGTAGTGGAACACACCTGCCAACTGGCATTTCTACATTTTTGGTATGTGGAAATAACTTAGATCTCTAGGTCAGAACTTGTTTTCAGGAAATAGGCTGGGGTAGGATCCAACAGCAGCCCTGTTTGGGTTGCAGTTGTGATGGTATAGCCTTCAGCTGATCTCCTGAGATTCTCATGTTCAGGATAGGAGAAATTGAAATGCACAGAACACAAATGCCAAGGAAGACTCTGACTCTCAGTCACACACAAATTCTGAACCAAAGTAGCTTAAAACAGGTCAGAACAGTCTGTCTCCACTTATAATTGCATGTAATCTACTTTTATTGCCTCATCCCAAGTTCTCAAATTTAGACAAGCAAATATATTGATTTATACAGACCTGTAAACCAATAGACACAAGTACACTCTTTGAATGTTGATATTTAAACAGGCAAGAACGTCTTTTCCTGTCTCTGACACTTTGCATGCAGAAAAAGAGCAAAATTAGCATCATGCTTTATTCTCAAGAAAACCAGCACCTCTCCCATTAAAAGCTCAGGATCTTAGGCCAGACATCATAAGAAGGCAAAAACACTGCAGAGACTGCAATATTATACCATTTGCCTTCATGGTTAACACAGTTAATCTAATTTATCACTTGCCCACCTAAGCTTGGTGTGACAGCAGTTTATTTAAGGGCTGGGCAGAGCCAGAAGACCTGCAGCCTTGCCCAGCTCTGTTCCCAGCCTTCCTGCTCACAGCCCTGAGTGGACACCTTGCCCCTTGTGCTTGCTCTCCCCTTCCCCAGCTGTTTGCCCTGGCCAGAGCTGCCTCGACCTACTTACAGCAAGGTGCATCTCCCCTAAGCATATTCTGTTTCTTGTTCGGTGAAGCCCTATCACAAGGTCTCTAGGTAATACAAAATAGATGCTAAGTGGTCGTTCAAATATCTCCACGCATTTCCATATTTAAAAAATATTTCCTCTAGAAAGCAGAAATAATCAACAAACGTCTGCCTGTAAACATGCAAGGCTAAATCAGCAACAGATGATGTTTACGGAGAGGTCTCACCAAAGTAGCTTTGTACAGCTAATGTTCCTTTATCAGATGCTCCCCAACTAGCCCCCCTCTCGTGCTGTGTTCAGCTTAACAGATAAGGCAGGGTCGGAGCAGAGGTTTCAGCTGACAGATAACTAATACTTGAACCTCTCTTTCCGTGCTGCAGAGGCTGGAGGTTTGGCATGCTGATCATCACGAGCTCCACCTAGCTCATGGCTTCACCTCACACCAAGCGAGTCAGACGGCACAGGACACAACGGAGCTCCACTGTTTGCTCTGGTAACAGTACCACAACTTGAGCTATACTAAAAGCTTTCCACTAGACAAGACAATTGCACATTAAGATTGCCATTTTAAATTGGTCTGGCATTTCTAAAGCTTGGGTGAAACAAGGTGACCAAAGGAAAGGCACCAGACATTCACCCACAGGATCTATGCCGTAGTGAATGTTTTGATGACAATGAACGTATAAGCAACATTTTCTGCAGAAGAAAGGAACTACTGGCCCTGATGTACTGTTTTGAGCATGAAGGGTAACTGAGAACTCTCACTCAAAAAAAAAAAAAAAAAAAAGGAAAAATTGTAGGTAGCCCTGACAGCCCACTGCCGCAGGGCACCCCTGTTCCTCAGCACAAGGAGAAACTTCATCATGGGCCTACTGAGCAGAGCTCTGAGAAAAGGACATTTTGTTTTCAGATGTTTTCCTCTTACACGCATTGAATGAAGAGGAAAAAAACACTAAAAAAAAAATACACCAAGCTCTGATGAGAAAGATAAATTCTCAAAAACAGTGACAGACGCCCACAGCAGATACCAGAGGAAAAAGGCCACCGAGATCCGATTAGCCCGGTGAATCAGCGCTGTGGACAGTATCTCTAAACCAACCTCCTCTGCCCCCTTCCCCTCCCACACTCCTCTTCCCATCACCACAAGGCCCTGTTGGCCCGCGGCTCCTTTGCCCACCGCTCACATACGTCCCCTGGCCGTGGGCCCGGCGCTGTCAGCGTTGGCTCACGCAACACCCGCTGTTGGCGCTGCTGAAGTCAACGCTGGCATAGGCAGCCAGGCCCTCAGCTTCGGATCACTTCGCTTGCCACAAGAGCAGTTGCTGGCCCCTGCTTCTAGCACTACGGTCATCCTTTCCCCTTTCCAGCATTTGGGATGATTTCTGGGCTCACAGGAATTGAAGGGGTTGGGCTGGCAGGTAGGGAAAAATCTCATCTTTTGTGAAAGAGGAAAAACATCTCCTTTTTGTCTAAGGAGGGCACGTAGCTGTCAGATGGGTGAAGCTCCTGTGCATTTGCCATTCTCTAGCCTCATACACTGCAACCTGAGTCTTCCCAAGGTAGCTCTAAGCCAGCCAGCCCCACACGGGCTGTGCACTTACGTGTGGTCCTTGGCTGGATCAGAAACCTGCACAGAGATCGTTGCAGCCAGAAGTACACCAGCAGAGGTGCCA